TCATCCTCTTAAAAAGAAAGACTGCTATCTGTAGAAAAACAAGCTCTTAATGGAGAGTAAACAGATTTCAATATGGATGATACATAAAACACCCTATTGTTATCAAAATAAAATTAATAGTCCTCTTTTGTCAAATAATTACTACAGAAATTCTTATATAAAAGTGATAGTTTTGCTACTTGAAGAAGTGAGATTCAGTAGTTTGTTTCATCAATGCAAGGCATAATCAACAGGGCTTTATTGTATTATGCAGACCTTTTTAGTTAAACCTTTTGCATACCAAAATGGTGGGAGCAAAATTAACCTAGGGAAAGTGACATTTGTAGCACGGTTTGAGGCCAATGATCTGTTTTTTAACCTCCAGGTTCCAACACTTGCGAGGTTAGTTGTCCTTTTGAACAATATTTGATGTAATTAATTACATGTGGCCGACAGCTGCTTAACATAGATTTTAAAGAATAGATGAGTGAAGAAGCCTGGGTATAAACTAGTCTGGTTCTCAAACACTATACCTAAGCATAGCTTTATAAGTTGGCTAGCTATTATTGACAGAAACTACAAAGGCTTGCCAGAAAAAAATAGACTCCCAGTATTGTTGACACTATCTATCATTTGTGGATGGACAGGTATAGAAGGATTCACAAGCAGTTGTTCAAGACCAAAGCGGCTATAGTTGCTGACATCTAGTTTGAAGTCAGAAGCAAGATTCTTGGTTTTGCCTGTGCAAGGTCTTCCCCCAAACATTGTGAGGAATTAATTGTGGGCACATATGTTTGACAGTCCGTTTTTGACAGTTTTTCTTCTGTAGCAGCATCATTGACTGCTCTGATGTACTCTTAGTTCTCTTGGATAAATAAAATCGGATGCATTCCAGATAGAAATATCCTCAAGAGAAATCAAAATTTAGAGAGGATGTCAAATAACAAATAGAAGCAGGTGTTTCAGATGGTTTTAGGTATGAAATCATTGAGAAATAGGAAGAGAAGCTTCAAGCTTCAGCTATATAGCTTCTGCCCAATTTGCATGAATGAATCAAATTAGCATAAAGTAAGGTGCTTGACTTCATCCCTTGCATGCATGCTGCATCCCATAATGTGGGCAATCAAAACATGTTCAGATGAATGTGTTATAAAAAAATTAAGGAAGCAAAATACCATAAATCACAGAGTTTGTTACTCCATACTCACAAACAGTGCTTATATTGAAATGATATTTATTTATTTTATCACATATGCTTTTACTTGTTTGAGATTCCAAGATCATCATAAAGCAGTACAGAGGAAAAAACATTAACTTTCCCACTATTGGAGATAATTATGGATTGCAGATAATTATGGTTTTAGATTGCAGATAATTATGGATTTAGTGTATCTGGTATTTATTTAAATTATCTGGTATATTTGAAATATATTGGCATATCTGTAC